CAACATCGTAGACTTGAACCAAATTCAAGTTGACCTGACCGTGGTTTAGACTCCAGAGATGAATGAATGTATACTTGCATGGCCTTTTTTAAAAATCTAAGGATAAGATAGTTTCAGTAGGGACATGAAATTAAATGGTGGACTAGAGTAGCACGCACTATATTAAGGGCCTGTTTGGGCCTGATTTTTTCACCCAAAAAATCGATTTTTTGACTGTTATTTCACTATTTCAGCCGTCATATTTAACTTCTTCTCTTACGGGTAGACCCCACTTTTCTCCTAACGGTTAAAAAATCAATTCTCAAAATCACTTCCAAACAGGCTCTAAAAGTAAACATCAATATCTTATTGTGATTTATCATGAGTCCCTCCCGGGACCGATATAGACCTCTTGTTTCATCCAAAGATGTACATATAGCAAACAGAGGCGGACACAAGTAGGGTTTTGGGGGGTCACCAACTTTTGAGGTTTTTTGTTTTTTGTCCCCTTCAATAAAGCCCTAATTCATATGAATTAAAATCTAAATTTCTATATAAATCAAAATTAATAATTAATTTTAATAACATATTTCATGGGATTTATAACTTTTCAAATTTTATCAAAATTTACTAGAAAATTGATTTTAATTTTCATCAAATATGGACGAAATCATAATAGATTTGAACTTTTCCATTTTCTTTACACTCTCGTGACTCTCTCACTCAAGCATTTTGTCAAAACCTTAACTCTTCTAATTTTTTTTTTTCAATTTTCTATAGCTTCTCTATAAATTATAACATTTACTTCATTTCCTAATCATATTTTGAACTTTAATTTGCATTTTCTCCTATCAAATTGTGTATATAGAATGAGCCTTAAAATATCGTACCCAATTTGACTTATATTTAACAAATTGTGTTTATTTGATTGAATATTAGTAGTGGATATTGGTTATATGTTTTTTTTCTTTTTATTACATGAATTGATTGTTTGTATCAAATACATTATAAATTCTTTAAACGTAAATATGCATTTTCTTGTGATGAGCAAAATATTAATAGAAATACTAGTCAATATTAAATGGATGAAAATGATAAACAAAATATTAATGAAGGAATGTGTTTTTAAAACTTAATTCTGCGTATTCTCGAGTTAAGTATGAATTATTCAAAAATTAAGAACAAAGTATTCGAACTATAGGAGGTCTGATTTTACCCCCTAAGTTAAAAAGCCTGCGTTCGTCCCTGATGGCTAAATTGACTATATACATTTCAATTGAATTTGAGCTCCTTGTGCTAGAAAAAAGTGGAAAAGGAAGATGAGGTGGGGACAGAATGAAAATTTGTATGTGTTGTGATATACAAGGTCTTTTTCAGCCTCAGTGGACCAGTTTGGATTTGGCTTAACAACTTGCCGATGCGGTAGGTAAAATTTGAGTTGATTCATTGAACTTTCTGGTTTAGACTAAGCTTTCTAGCTACTAGTAATCAAAGAGTAGCCGTCACTAACATGCTCACATTTATAATTCCGAATAAACAAAAGTCTAACCAAAAACATATTTGGATAACATTTTCCTCATTCTTTTTAGAGTTGTGAACAAGTTTATTACTTGAATGTGATCCGTGCACTTATGTTACGTAATTTCATTGTCCACTTTATCACTTGACTGCGACCCATGCACTTGCGGTACGTAACTTCTGTGAACAATGTTTTGACGTCATTGTGAGGGAATATTTTTACTTTGATTACTACCTTAATTAATTTTAGTTTTGATTTTTTTTATTTGGCTAACTCCTGTATTTTTAATCTCTCTTGTGTTAGTATTCTCTCATTGTATTTTTCGTCTATTTATGCATAATTATGATGGTGGTAAAGTAACAAAGTTTTTGTAATGGATTATTAGAATATCTGTATTTGCTAGAGGATGACTTTGTGGTACAACAAAGTTTAAAAAATTCTTAACTTCTTGTGGCAAAAAAGCCCTAAAAATTCCTTTGATTTCTCAAGAAAAATAATGTCTTGGAAAATAATAAACAGTTATGAGTAATCAAAGAGCTTTTCATGGTAAAATCACATTCACACGCACAAGGTGCAAAACTCAATATTAGTATAGAAATAATTTTTCTTTTCATGGTTGCCTCTTACATATCTAACAAAACCCACAAGAACAATGTACTACATCCCAAAACTTTCACTATAATGGCGAATACCCTTCCAAACACGAAAAAGTATTAATTCTTCTCTCTTTTAAACATCAATAAGTTTGCCTTTTTTTCTTTTTCATTTTTTTTTTCGAAATCCAAATCTAAAGGGGGCCAAAAACCCACACAATAAGTCACAAGATATAGTCAACTAAAATAACAGAAATAAACTTGCAGAAATTAAAATGAACACAACAGGATTTTTTGGCTGAAGCCCCAAAGGTTCAGTAACAAAGCACCTAATCCCCTGTTGAGCATCCAATGGAAAGTGAATATTGTTCAGTTGCACTAAAGCCCCAAAAATAGGCAGCGAAGATTACATAGTTTAACCACTACAAGAATACACAAAAAAAAAAGACTTATCTTTTCAAGGAACCAATAGATCTGCCTCAAATCCACCCCGAATCAACAGGCCACATTCTAATTTCAACACATGAGAACTCTAGATTTCATTCAAGAGTATACAAGTAGTGGCTAAAACATCAAAATACACTTATCGAATGAGATGATCGATTACAAAAAGGGAAATCAGAAAACCCTAGCCAGAGGAACCCAAGAACTCTCTCGAACCCTCATGCGAAAAGTCAGACAAATGAATAGTCTCTAGAGCCAAATGAAGCGTCAATGGTGTATTTATATCACCAGAAATAAAGCCCTTCATCCAACAATAGAATAGTGCCAAGTGTCATCATCTGGCAAAATGCCACTTACAAAAACGTGTTTCCATAATACGTTTTTGGGCTGAAAAATATGGGAGCACAAGATACACAGTTCAAACCGCAACAATTTCCACCTTGCTACTATAGTTTCCAGGTCTAGTGCAGCCAGGAGACAATATTACTCTCTCCTTTCATTTGCTCCAAGTACGTGCAAGTTATCACATAGAATCAATAGATAATGTCTTCAAATAGTTTTTAAATTTGTTCAAAGGTATATCTTTGTCCCCATATCAGATAGGCTTTACTGTGTAGGTAACTTACCAATTTTCAAAACATCTTTTGAAATAACATATCTAATAAAGTTATACATAATGTCTATGTGTTTATTTCTATCATGATACATAGGGTTTTTACTAATGTATGGCACTTTGGTTA